TGTCTAAATATCTGTGGATACTATCTTATTTGAGATACTATTAACAAACTCACTCTTTCCTCAAAATATTGATACTTATCATTTTATAAATAATGAAAAATTTCAAAAAATACTACTTTTTAAGTGCCACTTTACAAAAATGCCACATTTTTTAAATCTTTATAAAAATGCCAATTTTTTCAAAATTATTTTTTCTTTATATTATTTATGTTTGGGTTAATTATGTTCTACTAGGATTTAGTTTTGAGTGTTTAGGAGGTTTTAAGTGTCAAAACATGTTTTAGGGTTTAGAATTTTTAAGATATATGCTCTATAAATCTATAATTAGTGGCATTTTTGCAAATAAGTACCCCTAAGTGGCATTATTGCAAATATGCACACAAAAAGTGGCATTTTTGTAATTGCCCCTTACAAAAATGTCACTTTTTGTGTATATATTTGCAAGAATGTCATTTAGGGGTGTCCACTTACAAAAATGCCACTAATTATATATTTATAAAGCCTATATCTTAAAATTCTAAATCCTAAAAAATGTTTTGACACCTAAAACCTCCTAAACACTCAAAACTAAATCCTAGTAGAACATAATTAACCAAAACATAAATTATATAAAAAAAAATTAATTTTGAAAAAGTGGCATTTTTGTAAAATAACACTTGAAAAATGATATTTTAAAAAAAAAATTTAAATAATGAATCTTTTAATTTAAAATATAATAAAAATATTAATATTATATTGGTGAGATTACTTTAGAACATCTCACCAATCGAAATGATCTAATACTCTATAATTATGTACGAATGATAAATAAAAAAAATAAACAAAGTTGAGAGTTGAGTTACTACTAGTCAACGACGGATTAGGTCGCTCTGCGTCCACCAAACTAATCAGGTTGCTACTTCGTAATCTATTTTCTTAATGACTTTTTATATTCTTTCTACTCGATCGCTGCTTTTGAGTTTTGACCATTATCATTTTACATATATAACTACAAATCAAATTATTTCCATGATCAAACATATAACATTTTTTTGTTCTAGTTAGCAATAGAGATTTGTTGTTCCAAAAAAAAACACATAACAGGGTTTTAGTCTCGATTTCAGTTTCATGTTTCTTTTTCCTCCTTGGACATAAAAGGTTTTTCTTTTGATTAATTTTTTTAAAGAAGAATGCATAGAATCTCAAATAGGAAATTAGCATAGATAACCATAAAAAAAACTATATAGAATAATCTAACAAAAATGCATCTATGTACATAATTTTAAATCTAAAATTATTTTTTTTTTCTATTCCGAGACAATGTAAAATAAAGTACGATGATACTACAACGTAAAAGATTTAACGTTTAAGAACAAGAATCTATGATTTCACCAAGCTGGTTATGTGATGAGTTCTACCAAAATTATGAAATATTACTATTATTAATCTCGTGAGGAGATGAGGCATCCCGCATGTGTGAACATCGAACACCGACACTTCATTTAGTGATCAATTATTTAAATAATCTTAGTCACCGTAATCTAGAGGATTAGTCCCCCACACACCGTCGAATTATTGTATCCTTAGTTATAAATAGCTTTCATAAGAACTCACTTGAATATCTATTATTTAAAATTATATTCTTGGATTATTCGATCTCTTCTCGCAACATATCTTTACGTACCCTTCCCTTTAAATGCCACTTTTTGTGTGCATATTTACAAGAATACCACTTAGAGGTATCCAGTTACAAAAATGCCACTAATTATAGATTTATAAAGCTTATATCTTAAAATTCTAAACCCTAAAAAATGTTTTGACACCTAAAACCTC